GCAAAAATGTGCAGAGTATGTGCATATGCAAAGTGTAATAAGTGAATAAATAGATATGTACAGTAAGAAATAGTTGTGCAATATGAACAGTAAGAAATGGATATACAATAACAGAGCAAATGTTCAGTGGCTGGAGGAGGGTGTGTGGCAGTCAAGCCAGGGTGGAGGGGGGAGTACAGTCACTGAGGGAGATGTGTGTGTGTGGGGGACGGAGTTCAGAGTTCAGGGGGGACAGAGTTCAATAGAGTGACAGCCGCAGGGATGAAGCTGTTCCTGAACCTGCTGGTCCGGGAACGGAGCACCCTGTAGCGCCTCCTAGAGGAGACGAGGGCAAACAGTCTGTGGCTGGGGTGAGAGCTGCGTGCCCTCTGCAGACATCTCTTGCTCTGGACAGCCTCAATGGTGGGGAGTGAGGAACCGGTGATGCGTTGGGCAGTTTTCACCACCCTCTGCAGTGATTTACGGTCCGTGACAGAGCAGCTGCCGTACCATACTGAGATGCAGTTTGTAAGGATGCTCTCTATGGTACAGCGGTAGAAATTCTCTAGAATCTGAGGAGACAGATGGGCCTTCTTCAGTCACCTCAGGAAGAAGAGACGCTGGTGTGCTTTCTTTACCAGGGATGAGGTGTTGAGGGTCCAAGAGAGGTCCTCCCCCCGTCTAAGCTGAACTGAAGTCTATGAACAGCATCCTCACATAGCTGTTGTTATTGTCCAGGTGAGAAAGGGCGGAGTGTAATGCCGTGGAGATGGCATCCTCCGTACTCCTGTTCTTGCGGTAGGCGAATTGGAAGGGGTCCAGTGTGGGTGGTAAGCAGGTTTTGAGGTGAGCCAGGACCAGCCTCTCGAAGCACTTCATGATGTTTGGAGTGAGTGCAACTGGGCGGAAGTAATTTAGGCTCACTGCGGTGGAGTGCTTTGGCACTGGCACGATAGAGGTGGTTTTAAAGCACGTGGGGACAGTAGCTTGGGCTAGTGACAGGTTGAATATGTCAGTCAGGACCTTAGCTAGCTTCCCAGCACAGGGCCTGAGCACGCGTCCGGGGACGCCTATAGGCTTGAGCATCACCTGATCTGAAAGCGGTGTCTCGTGGCTTCAGCAATAGGCGGACCTCTTTGTTCATCGATCCATGGCTTCTGGTTGGGGAAGGTGGTAATTCGTTTAAGTGTAGTGACACTGTCGATGTTGGTGTTGATGAAGTCCAGAACGGAAGAGGCATAGGAGTCAATGTCCGTGTGGGAGTCCAGTGTGGCCTGAGTGACAAACACACTCCAGTCCGTGTGTTCGAACAGAAGCTGTAGTGCAGAGTCTGCTCCCTCTGGCCACATTTTAACTGTCCTCACTGTGGGTTTCACACGTTTGATGAGTGGTGTGTATTTCTGGAGAAGAAACAAGGAGAGCTGGTCAGACTGTCCTAGGTGGGGGAGGGTGGCTGCCTTGTAGGCATCAGCCATGTTGGGATAGACCTTGTCCAAAGTCTTGTCTCCTCTCGTGGGGCAGGAGACATGTTGGTAGAATTTGGGGAGTACAGTCTTCAGGTTGGAGTGGTTAAAGTCACCCGCAACAATGAAGGCTGCCTCCGGATGTAAAGTCTGTTCCTTGCTAATGGCAGTATGCAGTTCTTTCATTGCCAGTTTAGCATTAGCATCCGGGGGGATATAAGCTGCAGTCACAACAGTAGATGTAAACTCCCTGGGCAGATAGAACGGTCTACACCTAACCATGAGATACTCAAGGTTACCATGAGATACTCAAGGTTAGCAGAGCAGTGTCTCTCGATGATAGCAGTGTCCGTACACCAAGCATTGTTCACATAGATGCATAGTCCACCGCCTCTGGTCTTACCGGAGTCCTCTGTTGTTCTATCTATCTATGTATAGTAATTGGATTAGGATAAAACCATTTTGGTCAAAGGACGTTTTACCACTTTACATTTGTTACAATAAATCACTATAATGATTATAAGACATATGATACAGACAATGAGAATAGTAATAGCAGAAAAATATGAGGCACAATAGATAAATGATTGCTTAAAATAAAAAAAATTAATAATAGTAGCAGTGTAATTATTCTTCAAACAACATGGCCTAGAGTTGACCAGGTTTTGGCTGTGAAGTATGTGGGAGATGGAGCTTCAAACTGTCCCACTGGAAGACGCAGCAATGACTTGTAATGTAATGTAATTGGTTAATCATTTCCACTTTGAAATTCCAGTGGGCTTCTCTGATTGCACGGAGCGCAGAGCCTTTCCTTTCCACAGCGACGACGACCATTTCACAGTGCAGAGAGACGGCGTGTTGAAGGTCAGACTTCGAAAGCCTCGACTGTACAGTTTCCAACTCTCCCCTTGTTTCTGAAATCCGTCCGCATTGTTTTGTGCCTTTAAAATGAATATATGTGAAAACTACCGTTCAGGTGGTTGCACACAATAACAAAATGCTTTGACTCAATTCAGGTAAAGTACAGTAAAATAACTAGTACAGTAAAAGTGACTCCTACGTTTATACTTTGGGTCCTCCTGCAGCTCAGATGCTATTTAATATCTTCAACGCTTTGGGTCTTCAGGAGTTTGTTGACATGTGGAGATGCTTTAACCCAAATCTATTACCAGCAGGATGACCCTTGCTCATGGGCTGATTTCTCCCGTGTCGCCCCCTCTAGGTAAAAAGACCGATTGATATTCATCGCCATCGGGAATTCACTATCCATTCCTGGGACTCAGAAGGTCACAGAATAAGTGTTCCTGTCCGAGTAGTGCACCATGGGCATCGCCACGGGAAACACCACCATGATGTTGAGCGTCACCATGGAGAACGCAAACACCACAACCATCTGCACCGCCACACCAAAGTGGACTCTGCTGAAAACACAGAGGTACACCACGGCATGAAGTATACTTAAAATAAAACGATTTGCAATATATTTTGCAACATACACCAAATTGTGTTTTTATCAAGGCTCTGTAACTATTGACATTATGAGAGGCAGGTGTGCCAGTGAAAAGGTTCTGCATGCAAAGACCGGTTTCCTGTGGAACACTGCCCCACTGTGGCTGTGTATGAATGGCCCAGGCTCAGTGGCTTGATTCTGTTAGCATCCTGTACGTCTCTTTCATACCAGGCCTACAAGTAGACTTCCTGCTGGCGTTGTTTTTTTCGCCACTGCTCTTGATGCATTGCAACTTGCTGAGGTGGACAATAAAAGTATTGTAACCCGAAAAATGTAATAAAATTCAGACAGAGGTAGTAATGTAAGGTAATCTCATTTCATTTATTTTAAGAAAAAATGCTTCACCTGCAGAGCATGATGTATAACTTTTTCTGGTCATTTTATATTTGAATTGGTTAGGTCCTTTTAGTTAAAAGTAATATTGCAACGTTAAGTTGTGTTTTCCCAATTGCGGACCGGAAGGCTGCATTCGTCGGCCGCATTTGAAGAAGTCGATGTGCCTTCAGAACTGTAACGTTAACTGTAGAAAAACGACAGGGTTTCAACTACGCATTAACACTCAGATATGCACACGCACACAAACGCAACATCCCAACATAAAGTCCCTCAAAGGGGTAAAGGGTACTGTGGTATATTGACTTGATTTAGCTTTATTGTTGGAACAGTACAAATGCCACTTGGACCTCAGTAAACACTTTATTATAATTGTAGCGCATGCGCAGTACACGTTAGCAGAGCTTTCAGTGGCCGAATAAAGGGAAGAACATTAGGCTACATGCCTCGTCAATACCTAACAGCTACATGGGCAGCAGGTCTTCCTCTTAGAGTTGATGTGTTTATGTTGTAGTTCTCCGCCGTATCAATCACCATCCAATGTCTAGAGTCTGTCTCACTAACTGGCTACAAATGTACTTTTTTCTTCCAGAGTACAACAGATCAACAAGTGCCCATTTTGCAGTTTGCCAAGTCTGTTGAAGGTCTGAGGAGGAGGAAGAGAGACTGGATCATTCCTCGATTAAGCGTTCCTGAGAATAGCAGAGGACCCTACCCACTAAGAGTAGCTCAGGTAAGAGGAACTTAACCCCCTTCGATATTAAACTATTTGTTCTGAATATTTGTTTGCCTGCTTTTTATTTTTTCAAAACAGTATATTCACATATCTGTAAAACTCTCCCAACTCTATAGTTTTCTCCAATTGCTCTTTATTTATCTTTCAGTTAAGTTATCAGTCCAAGTTATCAGTGGAAATTATAATCAGAAAGCATGGATGTTCTTGAGTCTACTATGACTGAACTATTAAAACAAATCTGGTATCCATGTAAAACATTGTACGTGCTCTTCATTTCTGTAGATGCAGATTAACTCCGACCTCGGTGGTACTTCTTTACTACGGGGAAAACTCTTTAGCGATACTGTCACTAATGTAATGGTCAGTGAGCGTGGTATGACTCTGGCCTGGTGTGTTTCTTCCAGATCCGTTCTAATGAAGATAAACTAAAGAAAATCTACTACAGCATCACTGGTCCAGGAGCTAGTGAAAGGCCTATTGGCATTTTCTTCGTAGACAGAAACTCTGGTAATCTGTATGTCACACAACCACTGGATAGAGAAGCAAAAGCATCTTACATGGTAAGCACCCTCTTATGTTAGTTGACACGTCTAAATCAGCCAGCGAGGCAAATGGAGACTCTTTGTAGTCCTTTTCCTTCTTAATGTATTATGTTAGAATCTTCATCACAACTGCAATGTGTAATCTGGCCACCATGAATTTATCCTGGGATGATCCTGGGAGACTGACCGCAATCCTTGCTGGATGAACAAACGGTCCAATGATGCCGTTCTAGACCCAGCACTCCGCCGCTGGCATTTTAGCTGCCCCAGACCCAATAATTGAAAATCATCCTTGGGAAGAAAAGATTTCCACGGACCCTTGAAGCAGCCAACTGTCTATTACATTACGAAGCTTCATATTTCTCACATTTTTTATTTTACTGCTCATTTTGGTGCCTTTCCAAAATCAGAGATTTGGAGGGAAATCAGTGGCACAAATGTTTGTCGTGCCACCATTTTGCATGCAAACAATATCGAATAAAGCATCTAAATGGACTATTATTCATCATCATACAGTTTTATAATTCAAATGTATTTGTCCCATTCAGTTGACAGCATTCGCTGTGGCAGATGGTGCAGGAATTGCTGAACAGCCTATTGAAATTATAGTGAATGTAATTGACCAGAATGACAACAAACCAGTCTTTGCTCAAAGCACCTTCCTGGGAGAAGTTGCTGAGAGCTCACCAGAAGGTACAGAACGGATCTCCTTTCAGCCTGAAGATGTCTGTTGATGTTCAATGTTTTCACAAGACAGACCACATTTAAAGTTCTCGTGTTTTCCCTCGAGCTTTGATACTCGATTTAAATCCAGAACCTGCTCCAACACTGAGGGACCTTTTCTTATGTGACCTGTGAACCCACAGAATAATGTGGTCTGCTAGGGATGGCAATTCTATCCTTTAATCATCCTCCGCTCCAAGCATCCTGTAGTTGAAGAAATACTCATATTCTCACAAATATGTGAGCATCTGAATGAAGCTGACACTAATGGCAGATGACAAAATCAAAAATAATCTTTGCCCTTTAGTCATTACTCTTAACTGGTAGTGGTCTAAATATACTTTATTTACATGCAATTCATCATAGCTGTAGATCGTACATTACTTTATAGATTCCAGAGCCCCTCCATGAATGCAATGTACTTATTTTTGACCTGACTTCTGATCTCCAGGTTCTACGGTGATTAAGATTGAGGCCACAGATTTTGACGAGCCAAATAGTGACAACTCCGATATCCGCTACCGTATTCTGAGCCAGGATCCAACTTTGCCCTCAGACCCTCTGTTTGCCATCAACCCGATCACTGGCGTCATCAGAGTCAACGCTGGGCGGCTCGATCGAGAGGTTTGCCTTCTAATAGTCTGTCTCTGACTGTCTTTCGTGCTGTCTCTGGTGCCGACTGAGAAATAGTTTTACGTTGTAGGTAGTTTAATAGTACATGTGTTAGATTGGTATGAACATACTGATTGAGCTCTCACATGGCTGATCATTAGTGTCAGACTCGATAGCTTTATACCATTGGCTAATCTTTCTGGGTACAGTTGAAAAGATCAAATTGTGCATATCAGGAAATTTACTGATTTACTGGAAATGAATGGATACAAAACCAGATTAAGGATGTTGGCTAGAATAGACAGAAAACATTACATGTCATTTAGCTGACGCTTTTATCCAAAGCGACTTACAATAAGTGCATTTCAACCATACAAATACAAACTCAGAAGAGCAAGAAACAAGAAAGTGCAATTCCATCAAATACGCCGATGTAAAACTACAAGCTACAGATAAGAACCATTATAAGTCCAATGTAAGTGCTACACTTAGTTAGTGTGTTAGTGGAGGTAGAGTCTGAAGAGGTGTGTCTTTAGTCTGAAGATGTGAAGGCTCTCTGTGGTCCTGGTGTGAAGGACCCAACAGTGTAGCAGATTCCAGCAACGGGAGCTAGACTGGAGGAGACAAAGGCGAAATGTCACACTCAGAAACCGGCTTCTCTGTGAAGCGATGCGTGGGAGCCGTATTACCACTCGGGATGCAAGATAATCTGGCGAAGACTGGAGCTCCTGCAGATCCTTAAGAAGGGTGTTCTGAGGGTAGATGATTAACAGGTCTGATGGCAGGAGTGATCCAGCCTCCGCCCAGGAAACCTGCCCTCACCTAAGACTCAGAAACCAAACAGCAACAGCCAAGCATGATTGTACGACTATACGACTTGCAAAGAGTTTTTTCCGTTCTATTTTTTGGAACAAACATTTTTCCATTTATTCACAGGGAATTATTGCTAGGTGATTTCATGTTTGTTCAATTTATTTTGTAAAGCTTAAAAAACACAAATCTGTTCACATGCGGGGCACAATCTCTTCTTTTTTCTTTGTTCAAAGGAATGTTTGTCATCACGTTACATCACAGAAGCCAGTGCTAATAGGACTATCATTTAGCTACTTTGCCTTTCTAGATTGTGCTCCAACAAAGTTTGTAAAATGACATAAAACATGTTTATGCCTTCCAGGTGTGTTAAAGTCATTGTGTCTCTTCTGACAGAAATACCCAAAGTACACTCTGGTGGTTCGAGCAGCAGACATGAGAGGAGAAGGGTTGAATGGGGAAGCAAAAGTCATCCTTACGGTCACTGATAGCAACGACAATGCTCCGGCCTTCACTCCTTCACTCCAGCCTGCGGTAAGTACAACATGATTCTGACGGGAGATTTATAGATTTACAATTGACTAAACATCTCCAAGTGAGACGGTGTCCAATCCTAGCTCAGAAACCATGACTAGTCAAAGCAGATCTGTCATTTTAATCAACCATTTTTCTAATCCTGTTTGTTTTAACTCCCCGCCCTGTCTTCGCAGTGTGAGACATCAGTTGAAGAAAATAAAAGGACGCTTGCATCCATACAACTTTGTTGGCTGAACATTTGCATCCTCTTAACAGTCCCATAAGGCACTTTTACACATCAACATCAGATTAACCAGGAAAAAAGTGTTTAAGAAACATAATGGCCTTAATTAACCGGTTTTAATAATTTGAGAAAAGGGGGGAGTGGTCCTTTTTAAAGCCAAGAACTACAACCAAGAAGAACTCTAACAGTGACTACTTGGCCAGTACACTGCTTTTAATTGCACCTACTACTATTCTCTTTACATCCATATATTGTCCTTTCCGATACAGCTCTTTGCGAAACTGGTTAGGGCCATAACAGAAATGCTCACATTGGGGGCTTTTATTTCCCTTATTTGCACTCAGGGACACCACGAATCTCTCCTCGCTAAACATACACACAACCACCATGGGCATACTGGACCAGGTCCTCTCCCCAACAGACCTTACTCCTACCAATCCAGGGTCAACACCTCTCTAATAAAAGTTATTTGTAGCTTCCAGGATGTAATGTAAGGGATAACCCTAAAATGTTTCACCCATGTTTCAGCCAACTGTAAAGTCACCCCGACAGCAGCAGCAGGTCAATTTTAATCCAGTTTTGAGGAACTGAAAAATCCTGAAAAAAAGTCATGTTTTGATTGTACTTGTATCCCCGCTGTGTTGCTTACAAAAATCTAATCTAATATTTTTCTTTTAATATGATTCTCAGTTTAGATCATTTTAAGGAATAAGTTTTAGAAAGAGTTTTAACAGCATATGTGCGTATTTTGCTTATAACTAATGAAGCAAAATTAAGTTTCCTTTAAAAATGTATTTTCTTTTGCTATAGTTTCCTTGGCTGATATTGTGCATTAAATCAATCATCAAATAAATATGTACTTCATCCTTTTGTTCCTCCTACTACAACTAGTAATAATACTACTAATAATAGTAAAAGTGATCATAAATGTGAAACAAATTGGAAAACATGATTGCATTAAGAAATTATTTCAAATTCAAAATACATGTGTCACACCGCAGTGAACTGGTTGGGTTTGTTTTATTTTGTCTGGTCTGTTTGTCTTGTCATTTCCTGTTTTATTTTGAAATAGTAACTCTCCTTTCGTTTCAGGTCACTTACCCTTCCTCATGTGTCACCAGTCTGATTGTCTTCCCTGATTCCCGATTGTGTCCACCTGTTCCCCATTGCCCTCCATGTGTACTAATAGTCTGCGTCTCTTTGTCCTGGGGGGTATTCCAGAAAGCGGGTTATGTGAACCCTGAGATCAGGGAAATTCTGAGTTATCCGTTCCAGATAGAGAGGTAACTGAAACTCTGATCAATCACCATGGTAACAGACTCTGTGAACGTAACCTGCTCCCTGGCAGGTTTACCATAAGAAACCCAGAGTTTCCAACAGTCTCCTCCCACATGAAGAAAGCTGGTAGAAATGGATTGTACATTCCTACCAAATCCAATTGACATCAAAGCCTTAAGCCACATTTACACATAGCCGGGTATTTACAGAAACGAATATTTCTGCCCCTCCGTTTTCAAAAAAGTTTGTTTATATGAACCCGCAAAAATACGGCCCCGGGCGCCATCATAACTATGCCAAACCTGTAGTCGGCAGCAGGGCTGTAGTGGAGGGTAAACGCACGTAAACGCCGTTTACGCACCTCTGGAATTTTGGAAATAGCGTTTACGCACCTTTAAATAGCGTTTACGCACCTCTAAGTGGCGTTTACGCACTTCAAAGTTCCCTGCGCCTTGTATTCTTCCGTTGGAATAATCCGAAATAAACTGTAATTTTAAAACAGCTAAGACTACGTTTCCTATTGTTGAACATATAAACGACGTAGTCTGAATCATGTTCATCTGCGCTGTATTACGGTCTGTGAGCATCCAACTTCACAGACTGGTTTCAGACAATATTCCGCGGACCGGTCGGTCGAGAAGGTCCGACGGGGGGGTGTAGTAGTCGTTGCACGGTAGAAGGACAAGAAAAACGCCTGGTGACGCGTGCACATAATTAGGAGAAAATCAGCTAAGACTACGTTTCCTATTGTTGAACATATAAACGACGTAGTCTGAATCATGTTCATCTGCGCTGTATTACGGTCTGTGAGCATCCAATCAGTGCCTTGCGGGTGCAGCAGCGACCAATCAGGATCCAGGAGGTGTGTAAACACATACATGTTGTAGATCAGCCCAGCGGTCCCCAACCTTTCTTACCTCGCAGACCGGTTTCATGTCAGACAATACTTCGCGGACCGGTTGAGAAGGTCCGACGGGGGTGGTGTAGTCATCGTTGCGGGCGGAACGACCGACGGGGGGATCGCGCGCTCTGTGTTCGCCGGTCGTGCACGGTAAAAGGACAAGAAAAACGCCTGGTGACGCGCGCACATAATTAGGAGAAAATCCGGTCAATTTTCAAAATAAAACAATTTCCAGAAAAAAAAAATATATATAAGCTTTCTGTGGTGCGGCCCGGTACCAAATGGCCCACGGACCGGTACCGGTTGGGGACCACTGGATTAGCCTGCCTGCCTACCTGTTCGGAATGGATTACCGCCGGTAATTAGCAATGGATATCAGGCGATATTTGAAGAGACCATTGAGTGCTCCCACTCCCACAGATGCCCGCAAAAGGCCTCAAGTACAAAGTAAGACCTCAGAAGATCAATTCACGTTTTTAAACATTGTTTTGGTTCACACAACATCGCATTAAGACGGAGACAAACGCTACTAATAACGTGCTTTCAAATAGATAATGCAGGCAACAAGCCAGCCTTCCCGGTCCCATCTAAATAGGCCTAATAAAATTAGGAATTATCCCCACGCATATTGCTGCAGATTAGGCTAATTCATTGAAAAATTGTCGACAGGTTATGTGCAAGACAGCTAGACATAGCTAAGAGAAATGCTAAGTGAAATGTTTTAGTTTAGCTATAGAATCTTCAAATTTCGCAGTCAAAGTCAAATATATTAGTTTTTTACTTTCATGATGATTCATCATGTCCTGCTCTCGCATAGAAAACGTGAGAGGGGAGCAAAGCTGTTGCTTCACTGAATAGGCCTATATGCTTAATCAATTATTTGAAGTCATGAAAGTTGTAGAGTAGCCTGTAAGCGAAATACACTGTAAACATAGATTAGAAAACAAGGCAGTTCTCAATGTGAAAAAAAAACCATGCTGTATAGGCTATTTATGATGACATAGGTAGTACATGAGTGTTCCTTTAACTTATGTTGTCAGTGTAATTGACAGGCTGCTTAACTGGTTAACTCTTAAATTCAACATATTTTTTCAGGCAGTGAGAGGACAGGCAATGATGCAGAGAGCACAGGGAGAGGAGAAACACCAGGTCCAATAGAGAGAGAAGGACAGAGGAGCCATGAACCCCAGAACACGTGTTCTGGGGATCATGGCTCCTCTGTGCAAGGCAGGACCTGACGTGGAGGACAAGGAGGCCCTCTGGGCACTACTGTAAAAAATTCCACTCTAGAATGTGAATGGGCAGAGCACTGCCAGTAGACACACTTCAGTAGGCCCCTCCGGATCTCTCCCTGTGGCAGCAGACAGCGTTTCCTCCTCATCATCCTCCTGTATTGCAGGAAAATATACTGTTTCTGAATACTTTTAACTACCATCTGAGGCAAGCTCTGAGTATCTGCAGGGTTTACAACTGTGCAGATGACACCATCCACAACTGTTGGATGGGTGGATATATATTAATTAAAAAGTAGGCTATATATATATATATATATATATATATATATATATATACACACACACTACCGTTCAAAAGTTTGGGGTCACTTAGAAATGTCCTTATTTTTCAAAGAAAAGCCCTTTTTATTCAATGAAGATAACATTAAATGAATCATAAATACACTCTATACATTGTTTATGTGGTAAATGACTATTATAGGTGGAAACATCTGGTTTTGAATGAAATATCTACATCGGTGCATAGAGGCCCATTTCCAGCAACTATCAGTCCAGTCTTCTAAGGGTACAGTGTGTTTGCTAATTGTCTACATTTCCACAGATTACCTCAACAAGTGGACAGCTAGAATGCCAAAGGTCTGCTCTAATTGCTGCAAATGCAGCATTCTTTGACGAAAGCAAAGTTTGAAGAACCAAATTAATATTCCAATTAATAGAAAATGTAGTCAATGCCTTGATTATATTTTCTATTAATTTTTCCAACTCATTTGATATGGAAAACACAAAATTGTCTGGGTGACCCCAAACTTTTGAACGGTAATGTATATTAGTTTTATTTTTTTTAAAGAAGTGTATACTTGTGTGGCAGCACGAGATTACATAATAGCGCCAAGTTATGGCAGTTTAACTACAGTGCCACCTTGTGGCAGAACAGGGACCAGCAACGCCACCCTGGGAATTTCACCCAGAGAATACTAACTAATAAGGTCACGCAGGTAAGTATCACAAAAGATGCCAAAGACGTGGTTCAATGTACAAAAAGGGGTTATAAGTTTATTACAGTAAAATACGAGGATCCATAAAACAATTTAAAACACGCTCACAATCTCCACAACAAAAGGGGAATTAATGGGGGTAATAATGGTCAAAATAATAAACAAAACAATGAACGCTGAGGCTTACCAGTGGTTGTGGAGGGGACACGAGGGCAGCGGGGGAGGTTTCGTGCTGTACGGCGTACGCCCACTTCACGAACTGCAGGGACAGATGGAGACCGGAAAGCAGAAGACCCAGGGGGCCTCTCTGCGGCCCTGGCAGTGGTGGTCACTAAAGGGGCTGGTAGGGGCCGACTGCGAGGTGCGATTGGAGGGGCCGCAACTACTTGGGTGGGAACTACAGGGGGAGCTTCCGACCTCCACACAAACAGGTCGTCCCCGGGCAGCTCGTCCTCTGACAGGGGCGAGTCATCTAAAGGTGAACAAGGTGCCGCAGGGTCGTTTGGAGGGTGGGGTCCAGCCACAGCCTTCAGGAGGGCACGGTTGACCTGTCTGACCTTTGTTGGTTCGTCCACCGGTGCAATGGTATACACCGACCCCCCCTCTCTGGGCACCTTAAGGACTTGGTATTGCACCGGGCCGAAAAGGTCACGGAGCTTATGCCGCCCCCGTGCCGAAAAGTCCCGAAGCCACACCAGTTGGCCTACACTGAGAGGCACAGCTCTCACCTGCTGATCGTGGTTGTTTTTACGACGCTTGGCAGCAAGCCGAAGCCGCTCGGTAGCGCCTTCAAAGGCCAGCTGTAAACGGGCCTGATGTTCTTGGATCCACTCGTGGACATGTCCACCCACAGGATCCCGAACTCTGCCCAATAGGAAGTCTACCGGTAATCGGGGTTCCTGTCCGAACATCAGCAAGAATGGAGATTCGCCCGTCGACTGATGAGGAGTGGTGTTATAAGAAAAGAGGACCTGTGGCAAGCAAGAACTCCAATCCCTCTTCCGTGATACAGGCAAGGTGCGCAACAAATTGTGAAGCGTCCTATTAAATCGTTCACACTGGCCGTTACCAGCCGGATGGTATGGCGTGGTACGAGATTTTTCGATGCCGTAAAGGCAACAGAGCTGGTGGATAAGCGCGCTCTCAAAGTTGCGGCCCTGATCGGAATGGATGCAGGCCGGGACCCCAAACTTTGAGAACCACTCCACGACTAGAGCTTGAGCCACAGTGGGGGCTCGCTGGTCTCGGGTAGGGACGGCCAGAGTGTATTTGCTGAACACATCGGTCATTACCAGGACGTTTTCTAACCCACTCGAGGTGGGTTCTAGCACCGTATAGTCGATAGCGACAATTTCGTTTGGCCGCGAGGCCAACAGGTGCCCCATGAAACTGGACCTAATAGGTCGGGAGTCCTTGGCGACTTGGCACCGCTCACAGGTCTGGCACCACTGGGACACGTCGGAGGACATGCCAGGCCAATAGCAGCGTTGGCGTAGGAGCTCTAACGTCCGTTCTACGCCCTGGTGGCCATGCTCCTGGTGGACTTTCGTCAACACCTCTTCCCTTAGGGAAGCAGGCACTAAAACCTGCAGAACTGCTTCTGCCCCATCGGGACGGAACATCTGGCGATACCAGACCCCACTCCTCTCGACCAACCTGTCCCACTGGCGGAGTAATGCCAGAGCAGGCTGGGAAGTTCCTTGACGCTCTTCAAGGGAGGGACGCTGTCCACGTCTCCAGAACACAAGAGCCTCCTGAATAACCGGGTCAGCTTGCTGTAAAATACAGATGTCTGAAGAGGTGTGATGGGGCAGGGCCATAACGGCTGTTTGGGTCGCTTCAACCCGTGTCCCGTGAAGAGCCTGCCGCAGAGGGTGGGGGAGGGATGTTCCAGGAAACATAGTTTCCATGTCATTTGGGCCAGGGGGGTGCTGACGGGATAAAGCGTCCGCATTGTTGTTGTTTCTGCCCGAGCGGTATTTTACCTCAAAGTCAAATGACGCCAGCTGGGCTGCCCAACGTTGTTCAGTGGCACCCAGCTTTGCAGTCGACAGATGGCTGAGCGGGTTGTTGTCGGTGAAAACCACACACTTATGGCCCAACAGATATTCCCGGAATTTCTCCGTCATGGCCCACTTGAGTGCCACAAACTCTAAGCGCATGGAGCTATAGTTCACCATATTGCGCTCAGTGGGCCTCAAGCCTCGGCTGGCATAGGCTACAAGTCTAACTTTCCCCTCTTGTTCCTGCGATAGCACAGCACCCAGGCCACCATAACTGGCATCCACTTCCAGGATGAAGGGAAGGGAAAAGTCAGTGTAAGCAAGCACTGGAGCAGTGGTAAGCTTGGCCTTCAATGTTTCAAAGCTATGACGGCATTCCTCCGTCCAATTGCCATCAATAGCTTGCTCCGCTTGCCTCCTCGACTTAGTGGCCCCCAGATGCGCCACCAGCTTGTGTAGCGGTGCTGCCAACTTAGCAAAACCCTCCACAAAACGCCGATAGTAGCTGGCAAACCCAAGGAATGACCGCAACTCTGAGGCCGTAGTGGGGGGCTTCCAGTTGGCGACTACCTCGATCTTACTGGGATCTGTGGCCACACCCGTACTGGAGATCACATGCCCCAAATAACGCACCTCCGGCTGGAAAAAGGCACATTTGGTGAGTTTGGCCTTGAGGTTCTCCCGCTTAAGCCGATCCAGCACCACTTCCAACCTCTCCACATGCTGCTGGACGGAAGAGGAGTAAACCACAATGTCATCCAGGTAGAGCAACAATGATTGATTCTGTTGATCACCAAATAGCCGCTGCATCAGTCGCTGGAAGGTGCCAGGGGCATTGCAAAGGCCAAAGGGCATGCGATTTCTCTCGAAGAGCCCAAAGGGCGTGCAAAATGCGGTCTTGGAGCGATCTGCTTCCACCACTGGAACCTGGTTGTACCCACTGGCCAGGTCAAAGGTCGAAAACCAGCGGGCACCTGAGAGTGCGTCCAACGATTCCTCGATGAAGAGTTTTGGAATTGAGCTGCCTGTAATCGACGCACATTCTCAAAGTGCCATCCTTCTTTTTGACCAGGACAATGGGGCTGGAATAAGGGCTGCTACTCTCCCTGATCACCTGAGCCTCAAGTAGTTGGTGAATGTGCTCCTTTACGACCTCGTACTCTGAGGGGGGAATACGCCGATGGCGTTGCCTAACCGGAATGTTATCAGAGAGAGGGATGTCATGGGCGATCAGGTCGGTGCGGCCCAGGTCTACATTATGAGCAGAAAAGACCGAATTGTATCTTCCTAATAAAGACTTCACTGGGCCCTGCTCGGCAGCCGTCAAGGCGGACAGGTCCAGGGCATCTATCTGGTCTTGCACCGGGAGAGCAGCGGTTTGGGAGGCCACTGTGGCCACACCCGACGACACCTCAGTGACTCCTGTGGGTAGGCTCACGACGTGGACTTCGTCCAATGTACCCACAATTGTGTGTGAATACAGCAACACATCGGTGGTACCTACGTTCACGATGGGAATGTAGGCGGTACCCCGTATAACACAGACCAAAGCAGGTGATGCAAGAAGCCCAGCTGGTAAGCCAGAGCTCAGAGGTTCAAATAGCACAGTGTAGTCCGCGTACTGTGCTAAACAGGTGGCGGGGACAAGTTTTATTACACCTCCAGGAATCCGACAGGCCGTCCTACCTCGCACTCTCACCTGCCCAGCTACCTCATCACGGGGACGGGTGCCAGCTTGCTGACACTTTTGCAGGGCCTCCACAACAAACCCAGGGCTGTTAGTAACGACCGGTAGTTCGAACATGGCCAAGTCATGCCGACTGAAAAGCTCCTTATAGCACTTGTGGATGACATTCATCCCCAAAATACCGGGAACCTGGGAGGACACACCACCGGGGGGGTCTTTGACCACTAATAACCCACACCGCAGCATCAACTTACCACAGAGCTCAACATCGAGCTCCAAGTAGCCAAGGTAGGGAATGGCCAGCCCATTAGCAGCTCTAAGCTGTAGCCAATGACAGGACCTCAGCCTCTCTTGACCCCAGGGCTCAAACTGTTGGAGAAAGAAGCTCTCCGTAACGGTGGACACCATGGAACCAGTGTCCACCAAGCAGGGGACCTCAACCCCACCCATACACACACCTAGATAGGGACAAGACGACATCAACCTCGAAGCTGACAGACCATCAACAACACTTGAACCAGTGGCTGCCCCCTCCGAACTGTGGCTCTGCAGTTCGGCGGGTGCTAGTTTCCCGACCCCGAAGCAGGGCGAAACTGTCTATCAAACGATGGAGGGGCAGTTGCGGGTACAGGTGCGCGGGCAGGGACACGTTCTCCGTCACATTCCCTCGCAAAATGCCCAGGCTGTTGGCGTCGCCTACATATGATGGAGCTATTGTAAGGAGAAGGGCTACGCCGAGTAGGGCTCTGCCAGCGTGCCACACTTTGGGTAAGCTGGTGGAGCTGCTCCTGTTGTAGTTTTAGCATCGCTCGAATCTCACTCAGCTCTGATACCGGGGGGGGAATTAACGACTGGCCGTAGGGCACTCTGGACGCCGAACTGAACCCCAAGGTTTAACGGAACAGAGCAACTTCGACCCCTAGCACCCCCTGGAAAACCCTCCCGCTCCCACCGAATAGCCTCGGCTCTTACCTCCAGCAAGGTGGCGACCGGCTGTCTACGCACACACTGCTTAAGCTCCCGACGGAGCGTGCCATCGAGCACATGCTCGACAAATTGATCACGCAGCAGAACCTCGGCGTTTGGTATGCCGTCGGGGGCACGCTGCTTTACTGCCATCATGAGGCCCATCAGCGCGAGGGAGAACTCTTGTAACGTCTCGCCTTCTTGCTGCCGACGAGAAAAGAATGCTTCCTGTAATGCTACGTAAGACTCCGCACAGCCATAAAGCTCTTGTAAAATGGAAATTATTATAGCTGGGTCTTCACGTTCTATACTAGGGCGAAACTTTATTTCCTCGCGAGCCTCCCCTTCCAAATGGTCGAATAGGAAGAACGCTTGATCTGACGTAGATAGATGGCGGGCCCTCATGCAGGCTTGTGCTTCCCCTATCCATTCCGACAATCCGATGCCTGATCTTCCCCTAAACATCGGACACTTCCGGTCACGGGGCACAAACACTAGCCTATCTTGGGTCGGGGTTCTAGCCATGGGGGCGGCGGTAGGTGGCACGCTAACGGGGGGCCGTACTAGGCCCACCCACGGCCGCAGCCTGTTCCAGGCGAAGCCTCTCATTGTCGACCTTCAACTGGGCAACTAAGTCCCTCAACTCTTGCAGCTCTTGCTCCATACTTACCCCAACCGTTTTAAGGGGGGAACCCTACCATTATGAGAAGGGGGTGAAGAGAGAGAGCACCGGCTGCTGTTTTGCCTATGACACACACAAAAACAAAGAAAACAACAAAAAAAAGAAACAAACGAAGCACTGGACCACAAACGAGCAGATAAACAGAAAAAAACAAACAAAAAAACAAATCCAACTGAACACACGTCTTGGCTTTCGAAATTTGCAAAGTCCTGCCAGCAACGCCAATTTGTGGCAGCACGAGATTACATAATAGCGCCAAGTTATGGCAGTTTAACTACAGTGCCACCTTGTGGCAGAACAGGGACCAGCAACGCCACCCTGGGAATTTCACCCAGAGAATACTAACTAATAAGGTCACGCAGGTAAGTATCACAAAAGATGCCAAAGACGTGGTTCAATGTACAAAAAGGGGTTATAAGTTTATTACAGTAAAATACGAGGATCCATAAAACAATTTAAAACACGCTCACAATCTCCACAACAAAAGGGGAATTAATGGGGGTAATAATGGTCAAAATAATAAACAAAATAATGAACGCTGAGGCTTACCAGTGGTTGTGGAGGGACACGAGGGCAGCGGGGGAGGTTTCAAGAGAAGACACCCGTGAACACAAAAAACACAAAATAGTGAGCACAGCAAAACAAATGAAAACGAAAGACCACAGCAAACGAGCGAAGGGATACCACCACCGGGACACCACCACCCGGACACCACCACCGGGACACCACACCACCACCAACAAAACGTTAAACACGCGTACATACAAAAAATACAGAACAAACTAAACAATAAAGAAAACAAGATAACTCCGTCGACCCAATAAGTCACGGGGAAGGGGAAGATCGAACGTCACGCTAAAATTGTTCATCCGGGTAAAGCCGTCCGAGCAAAACGGTGCAGGCGGTCCGGCCCAAAACAATTGAGGCAACGCAGTCCAAAAAACACATGTACGCAAACCGAGGTAGAAGGCGTATAGGCGAAACAGCAGCTAGTTGGACTGCTAACGGTGGCCAAGATCCTCCGGTATGACCGCCCAGTCCCAATTGAACAAGTTACTGACCTCGCCGTGAAGGAGACAGCTCGGGCAATCACGCCGCTCGGAAAGCTTCGTGGCGGTCGCTCTATGTTAGGGAGCTACGCGGGTCCGACAGCCGGGGATCTATGGGGATCACATAAGATATATAAAAGGCAGCTGACGGCAGTAGCAAGATAAAGTGCGCGGAGACAGCCAGTTCACCACCTTACCTGTAGCAGCGCCGAACAACCATGCAGGGTGAATGACGTGGAATACTGACACAGTTCCGTCACCTGGCCAAGAGGGCGATAGGAGGGAGGAGACTACTGTGGTTTGTTTATACCGGTCCCTGCGCTCTGATTGGTCCCGCGGGCATCCGGTGATTAGGAGTCTACTCCTACTGCTACAATCGCATCTGATGTAGCCACTTGTGTCCTGGGGGTTGACAGGCTTGGATGAGCTTCCCCCAGGGTTACCTTCAGCCACCGGGCGACCACTGTTTAGGCTGAGGGTCGGCTCCTCCGCCTCTGTCAGAGGTGGTGGAGGTGGCCCTCAGCCAGTTTTTTGGGCCTCCGCCTTCTTCCTGTTGGCTGAGCAGAACTCAATGTTTCTTTGTTTTTTAATTAGTATTTTAATGAGTGTTGGTGTAGGCTGCAGCGTCACATTTTAAATGACTTCGATAGATATAAAATACAAATGTGTCTGTAAGTGTAAGTGTTTTATTTTCTGTTGTCATGGTGACTCGTGGTATCGGGGCTCCATTGATGATGGCTTTTCATGCATGCGCTTAAGTCAAGGTGAACATACTCCGAGTTGATTGAACTAACGCAGATCAGCTGTTCTGGAACCGGATACTCAGTTTCCCGTCTCAGAGTAAGTCAACTCGGAGTTCAGGGATAGACTCAGAGTTTGTTGAACCTCCTTTCTGGAATACCCCCCAGCTCCTGACCACACAGCAAAAGTGTGGAAATTTCAGGATTAAAAATTTCCGAGTTGATTTTCACTCCCAGAGTGTAATTTTAACACATTCTGATTTAAATGGTGTTCAGTGTCCCAACATGCAGACGGGTGTTTCACGTGTCTAGTTCACATGTCTAGCTATCCATCAGATTCTATGACCTGCAGTGTTGGAAAAAGTACTCATTTACTTAAGCAAAAGTATGTAAGTATTACCATTACTATAATTACCAAGTTAAAGCTAAAGTACAAAATTAGCAGAAAATCGGGGTGTGACTGATATAAATGAAATACATTTATGTGCATCATTGAATACTTCTGAGTCGGTGCATAAGCAGACGATTTTCTGGAAAGTAGTTTTAGTTTATTCTAGTTTTTCCAATACTGCAGATCACAGAATCTGATGGGTCACCAAAAATGGTGTAACACTGTCGACTTTTTACCGACTTTTTATTTACTTTGTCGAACTTCATTGCATGTCTCAGTCCAAATGCTGGTCCAGGTGAAGTACAGCCAACAGCAGAAGTATGTAAAGTTGGATGAGGATGAAGGACTGTTTGACTTTCTGCAATTCCATGAAAAAGGTTAGCATGGCTTACAAAAAAGGTTTTAAACCACATCCATGTTCTTTTTAAAGCTCTCTACATGCCTTTATCAGACTCTTATACTGTAAATGGGTGTACATTGCTAAACAACAGTTGAACAGTTATTGGCTGTGAGGCAAGAAACAGTGCGGACTTCAAAAGCACATTCAGTTTGACCTTATCTATTCCAGTCATGGAGAGATTTGGCCTGCCACCTGATGCAAATGTTATATATAAGGATGCAACAGGGACAGAAGTTGATGCAGAAATATTCAGCGACCTCGTTGGACAAGGCAATGTGGTCCTGACAGTTTTCTCAGATCAGGGTGAGATATCAAGGCAGGTATAATAAAGCACTCTACACCTTTAGTACATCATTTAATAATTTAAATGTTCTCTATTGCTTTAGAATTCTCTGATTTCTCCTTGTCTTCTGAGACGTCTGACTCAAGCTTCAGCTCAAGTGCATCAACTATAATCCTAGATGTTCCTAACAAGAGACAAAGAATTGAGGATACACGTGATGCTGTGTCTGCTAAACAGGTTGCTTAATGCTTTCACATTTTTTCACTCTGAGTCACTAGAAAAGCTGTTTATCACCATGTTTTGTATTCTCATGTTTTTGTTTTTTATTAGTTGATAGAAGCTGTGCTAAGAGGCAAGTCCGGAGGTGAAGAAGTACTACAGGAGTACCAAACAACAGAAACCCTAACAGATGCTGCAAGAAGACAAATGGTTAATATCCTGGTGGCTCACATGATTGACAATCATGGGTATGTTTGTTTCACATTGTTTTTATTTGTGCCAAATAAATGCATGATCATTGCATAAATGTACTAATTTACTAATTTAATATCTACTCTCAGGCACTGCCCCACTAAAACAATCAGAGAAGATTATGCACGTGAGATAGTGATGCTGTTCCCTTCCCTTAAGGATCCATACTCCAAGAAGGGCTATGTAATGGGCATTATTATTGTTTAAACTTCCATGTCATGTTGTGACCCCAAACTGTGTGGATGACATTGATATTTGAATTCCGTGAGATTTCTCATGAGCCTGGTATTACAACACATTTCTTTTTTTCATTTCAGGAACACTTCTATGATGCTGCAAGCAGCACAGGATACATTTCTTGGCGTCTGAAAACAGTCCAGAGGAAGATTCGTCAAGGATCACAGCCACCAAATAGCCAATTGACTTTTCTCCAGGAGGCCCAAATTGCCAAAGGACTGTTAATGTTGAAGGGCAGCTTGATGGTGATGCTTGCCAAGAGGCCATGTGTTTGCTTAACCATACAGCAGACAATTCCCTGATTTTCCAGAAGATGAGAGAGACCTTTCAGCATCGTCAGAAGCTTGTTAATGACCCAGGCAGAAGTGTTGATATACTCTCCAGCTTCCCAAGATTCCTGGATAAAAAGGATTGGTAAGTTTTGGATGAGATGTTTAGAATGGCTTGAAATTTGAAAGTATTTCCAGTAGTAGTAGTAGTAGTAGTAGTTTAATATCTTACATTGATCTGATTTTTGGCATAAGTGTGACTAATAGATGGATGACTGTTTAAAACTTTGTCATAATGCCTCCCTGTCCTCATTCAAACTTAAAGTGTTACATTTGAAGAGTTTAGTTAATTCTTGTGACTGTTTGTCCTCAGCCTACGACCAAGAAATGGCCTCCCTGTTGTTGCTGTTACATCTCCTTCCACCACCTCCAGGGGGACGGAAGTCTCCAAAAATTAGTGCATGTGATGCAGTTGAAAGACTTGTTGTCTTTCATAAGGTAATTATATTATTAAGGGGATTATAATAATTTGTCATGTCAACTTCTTAGCCACATATGTAAATGAGGGTTGTGGATTGTAATTATGTCTTCATTCCCATCTTGCACTAGCCCAGTGTTTTTCAACCTTTTTTGCGTCAAGGCACTTAAGACACAGAAAAAATCTCACCCACACCAACAACCGGAAGTGATATGAAAATCAATCCCAAACATAGTTTCAGCATGAGCATAATATACTCTGAGAAATCAGGGAAACGCGTGTTCTATTTGTTGTGTTTTATTAAACTTAACATCATCCTAATGCCAAGATGGCACAGGCTTTATGCCCAGGTATCTCTTAAGCCTAGTTTATGCTTCTGTTTTCAGAGTGACGCACACGCAAGACCCCCTTGCGTGTCCCTTGCGTCGCTTTTCACACCTCCTTGCCTCCTTGCGTGTTTCGAGACATTTTTCTAGGCTTGCGTTGCTTTTGACGCAAGCAACGCAAGCCTCCCGCAGCGCACCAGGCTGCGATTGGTCCGCTAACTACGTCCTTTACGGAGTCTCACATTTCCGCTTTCATTGCCCAATACCGCCATTATTAAAACGAAGAATGTTTACGAGAGAACGGAGCAGATTGAAGAACTTTAGTCGGAAGAAATGCGTAAATATGGCCGCTTATACAAGCCGTCATTGGCCATTGTTGTTTACTCCTGAAAAGGTGTGCAACATCGTGCTGTGTTACATAATGTGGCACAGCTTCCAAACGTGCCTCGACCCCCTGACGCTGATGTTGGCCCAGACCCTGTCCCGATCCCCAATCACTGCCGCCAGTCTCTCATCAAGAGGGGACAGCTCCGGTGTCCCCTTTCCCACCGTGGCAGACACACCTTGGCGATGGCGCGCTAAACGCTTTTCTGCATCCACTTTGATGTCAGACCATTTTTTCGGTCCGAGGTCGTGAGGCTGCAGCGTTGCTCTACAACCTTTTGCCACTCAGGTGCCTTGTTGGCATTAGTGATGTCCACACTGTGTCCTCCAAAGAGCATCTTACTTCTCCTTTCCACCTCCCAATGATCATTTCGACTTCACACTGAGTGAAGTTACATTTCTTCGTTTTCCTCTCAGTGTTTGCCATGATCTCGCAATCGATGAATATTAATTTTAATATTATTTTGTGGGTGTTCCACAGACTATATATGGGCAACTATCGGCGTGACATGAAGGCGCAAAAGCTGCGCTGCATTTAGAAGTGACTGTGATTTATTAAGGGAAAACTGCGTAGGACGTTTTATAAGTCTGAATATTTCTGTGCGTACGCACGTACTATGTTTCGTCCGTACGCCAGGTTTTATAAATGAGGCCCCAGGTGATGTTCACAGGCTCAGTGACCATGGTGACTGACCCTGAGCTTTAGTTACCTTCCTTTGTGAAACAGACAAGCCAGAGTTTCCCTCATCTCAGGCTTAACCAACTCTGAGTTTCCACTAAACCTGCTTCTTGCAACGGACCGCTGGGGTGCCCACACTTTTGCGGCTCGCAGGCTTCTTTTCAACTAACCAAATCATGGCAATCTACCCGTCCCCCTCCGAGGACTGGCCGGCTGGTACTGCCTTCGAGATACTGCCAAAGTTTAGTGTTTTTTTTTCATTTTTATCTCCAACATTAACGTAATCATCATGTGACTGTGTGTATTGCGCCTTACGAGGATGACCAGCGGGTGTCCAAGCTGGAAAAACAAGCAGCCGAAACCCAGAGTTGCGGTGAATGTAACAGAAGTTTATTTGTTCAAATCCGAGGGGGAGACGGAAGTGTAAAACCTAACTCAACTAAGAAAGGTTGACCGGGATGACCAGGGACTTTCCTGGGGCGAGAGAGAGGTAGAGAAGTTAATGAATAATAATTGTTGGATAGTGGCCTCTGACCCTGCGGCTGGTTTGCACAGCCCTCGCCTTGCTGCACCTAGCCACCGCGCTGCTCACCGGCTGGGCCATCACACTACGTGAAGCTCTAACAAGAATGGCTTTACTGCCATAAAGATTTGATGGGAGCTAAAAGCTTGATGATGGGCTTTCAGCAATATGTTACTGAATGATGGAAGTGCTTTGGTGCTGTAGTCAGCTGTGGATATATAGAAAAACACTGTAGGCTGTTTTCTCTATAGCCAACGTTTAGTTCTTTTAGGTACGCCCTTTTGCTTTTATTTTGTAGGTTGGGTATTGCATAATAGTTTCCCAATCATGGTTATGTGGAAAGAAGTATGTGATTGTGCCGTTATTTGTGTGCATCACTGTTTAAATGTCCCCAGAGTCTTTTTTCTTCATGTCGCCTAATTCGTATCCATAGAGACGTAGAAAAGCAAGGCAATGACATAATGTCCATGTTAGAGAAGTGAGAAACCAAATATTCTATCACATAGAGTACACTTTATTAATGACTCAGCTTATTTTTTGAAAGTTATAATCTTAGAGCACTTTGTCAACCCTGTTGTTTTAGATCCACCAGTTTCCCCACTGCTGTCAGCAGATAGCAGATCATCCTAAACCTTGACCTGACAATGATTTATATGATAACCCTTTAGCATCCTCCACTGACGGCTGGGAGACAATCAACAATAAAAAGTCAAAGGGAGCAAAAATGATCTGAGTTGAATAACTAAATGCTTTATGTGGAATAATGTAGTGTACGTTTCTTTCAAGAAATAAAGACAGAATATACACTAGATTAAGTCTGTCTTTGTTGTTGACAATCAAGCGGGAAAGAAAAGCAAACATTTAATGTTCTTTTCTTATCTGATGTCAGTGCGGTTACTAACCTATAGTTTTACAACAAGACTAGAATAAACAGTCACGCCAGCAGCTCTGTGAGGCTGCGCTAAAGCCGTATGTTACAATGTTGTCACATTGTGTCACAAGTTCTTGTTCTATTCAGCTTGTTTAGAGAGGTGCTATGACTCAAATGTATACCTCTTGTACTACATATTTTACATGTTTTCCAAAGAACTTCTTTTAGGGGCAAAGTGGTGTTCTGTAGTTTCATTACCTTGTCAACATCCCTCCCTCCTGGCAGGTCTCCCTGCTACCGCCATTCGACCTCTGCAGCTCACCCAGAATCTCTCTCTTCACTGGTACCGGTGGCTGCCCGCATCCAGTTCTAAACATTGGTGCTCACGTACCATGCTGTGAATGGATGGGGTCCAGCTTCCATCCAGGACCTGGTCCAACCCGACATCCCGACCTCTGACCTCTCCGCTCTGCATGTGATAAACTGCTTGTTCCTCCTCACTGAGAGCAAAACACTCGACTAGATCTCCATTCTCTGCTGTCCTGCTCCTAAATGGTGGAAGGAGGCCTCTGAAGACATCAGGACCACAGAGAGCCTTCACATCTTCAGACTAAAGACACACCTCTTCACACTCTACCTCCACTAACACACTAACTAACTGTAGCACTTACATTGTACTTATAATGATACTTATCTATCACAAGTTGTAAAAGAGCTTATTTGATGAAACTGCACTTTCTTGTTTCTTGTTCTTCTGAGTTTGTGTCCCTATGGTTGAAATGCACTTATTACAATGGACCTGAACCCAGATGCACGACTCCAGAGGCAAAGTTCAAAATCAAAGTTTATTGGACAATTGATTTATTTTATTGTATTGATTTATATCATATACCACCATTATGTACCAGTAATATATAAAGTGATTTTGACACATCAGAACACTCACAGGGGTTCCCCTTCATCCCCACAGAAAAATTGTCCAGATAGACAAAGTAGTTACAGAGTTATTACACTTTTTATCATGGTATGGCATTTTTTGGAGCAGAGGCCAAAAACACCCTCGGGTGCAACGACCTGCAGCATTTGACCAACTGAACCCAGTGAGTATCTGAATCTAGTGTCAGGGGAGGAGCGAGAATTGGCAAAAGAAAATCTATTCAAAAGTCAAGTCAAATTCGTTATTTTTCTACTTGTATTAAGTGCACCACAGAAGGAGGACTTGCAGACAGATGATGACCGCCTGGGTCACGGTTTGGGGCATTTTAATCGTCCTTTTTCAGGTGAGATTTCGTGCCGTTTTTTATGAATAACACAACCACTACCGGCTGTTTCTGCCGTTCTTTTGTGTTAGATTTAGAGAACGAAAGATAAACTTGCCAAACTTGTAATTTAAAGTTAGAAATTTTATGTCTTTACAAATGGTCTCCATGGGCCTCGCTCTACGTTTATGAACTCGGCAGATTAAGTTCTCTTTTCTAAAGACGAGTTCATGGGGTTTTTGATGGTCCTGGGACAGTTTTGAAAATAAATTCCCTTTTTACTTCGGACTTCCAAATGCAAAATGCTAAATTAAGCCTTTCAGATGTGAATTTGCTGCTACATCTGTTTTATATTCATGATATTTGTCACGGTGTGGTTCACTTCATGTTATATTTTGTAGTTTTCTGCCACTCGTGTCCTTGGGTAACTTCACTTCCTGCCTTGTCCCGTCATCCCCTGTGATCGTCTAATAGTTTCCACCTGTGTCCAATCACCTGCACCTCCCTTGTGTATTTAAACCATGTGTGTCTGTTGTCACTTGTCGCGTCATTGTCTTTTGCCACGCATGTCCTTGTCCTGTCTTTTGTCTTGGATGCCCATAGTTTCATGCCTGAGTGTTTTTGCCCCTTGGATTTTGGATCTTTTGACTATTAAAGTCTTTTGTTTTGGAAAAGTCTGCGTTTGAGTCCTGCCTTCCACCCTCACCCCTGACAATATTGTCTTTGGACTAATTGTTAGACAAAATAAAAAGGATTAAAACAAAAACATCCCCTTGAGCTCTCAGTACGTGGAGATTACACCAATGCTGACACCATGCAGGCTGAAAGGGTTCCCCTGTTACCTACTGTGCCTACTGACACTTCTATACATCCTTATTATGATTAATGAAACGGCTTTTTTCTTCTCTTAGGCCTCCGCTTTAGTGCCGACCGAGAAGCCAACATGTGTACCTGGATTCCAGTCGGATATGTTGGTTTACCAGGTGGTCAGGAAGCACCTGAGGCTGGGCACGAGACTGGGAAAAGGTAGGTACAATCCAGGAAGCCACTCTCACTCAATAGCAATGCAGACCTGCAGGGCAGGCACGTGCACAGATAGATCCGTAGTGCTGCTCAAGCACCTGCCTGTCACGGCTCGCTCGACTAGCCGTCCCCTAAAATGTGAGGGCCCAGAATGCAGACGCTGTAGGAGTTGGACGTGAGAACAATGTTTATTAGGTGGTGTTTGTAGATCTTCGGGGAGGGGGGGTGTTCAGACGTGGGTAGATGATTGACAGGTGTGATGGCAGGAGTGATCCAGCCTCCGCCCCAGGCTCCCAGGAAACCTGCCCCGCCCTCACCTAAGACTCAAAACAAACAGCAACAGTCAAGCATGATCGTGACACTGCCCTTTTGCCCTGGGCAAGAAAAGTCCCCCTTCTGCTGGAGGCCAATTCTTTTTCATTCATTCATCACTATTTAAGAATAAAAATTACTCTCTCTGTCATCAGTTTGGATGTGTGATGATGATTGCTTAAAATAAAATGAACTAATAATAGTAGCAGTGTAATTATTCTTTAGAAACGTTATCAGTCTACATCAAACGTATTCAAACTCTGCATTAATGGAAACAACAACATAGAGTTGACCAGGTTTTGGCTGTAAAGTATGTGGGAGATGGAGCTTCAAACTGTCCCACTGGAAGACGCAGCAATGACTTTGTAGAATTCTTTTAGTGTTGGGTGCTGAAGACTTATTTGTTTCTTTGTTTTCTCTAAATGTTCTGCATTTGTAATGGTTAATCATTTCCACTTTGAAATTCCAGTGGGCTTCTCTGACTGCACGGAGCGCAGAGCCTTTCCTTTCCACAGCGATGACGGCCATTTCACAGTGCAGACAGACGGCATGTTGAAGGTCAGACTTCGAAAGCCTCGACTGTACAGTTTCTCAGTAACTCTCCCCTTGTTTCTGAAATCCGTCCGCATTGTTTTGTGCCTTTTTAAAATGAATATATGTAAAATAAAATGAAAATAACTAGTACAGTAAAAGTGACTCCTACGTTTATACTTTGGGTCCTCCTGCAGCTCAGATGCTATTTAATATCTTCAACGCTTTGGGTCTTCAGGAGTTTGTTGACATGTGGAGATACTTAACCCAAATCTATTACCAGCAGGATGACCCTTGCTCATGGGCTGATTTCTCCCGTGTCGCCCCCTCTAGGTAAAAAGACCGATTGATATTCATCGCCATCGGGAATTCACTATCCATTCCTGGGACTCAGAAGGTCACAGAATAAGTGTTCCTGTCCGAGTAGTGCACCATGGGCATCGCCACGGGAAACACCACCATGATGTTGAGCGTCACCATGGAGAACGCGAACACCACAACCATCTGCACCGCCACACCAAAGTGGACTCTGCTGAAAACACCGAGGTACACCACGGCATGAAGTATACTTAAAATAAAACGATTTGCAATATATTTTGCAACATACACCAAATTGTGTTTTTATCAAGGCTCTTTAACTATTGAGATTATGAGAGGCAGGTGTGCCAGTGAAAAGGTTCTGCATGCAAAGACCTGTTTCCTGACACTGCCCCACTGTGGCTGTGTATGAATGGCCCAGGCTCAGTGGCTTGATTCTGTTAGCATCCTGTACATCTCTTTCATACCAGGGCTACAAGAAGACTTCCTGCTGGCGTTGTTATTTTCGCCACTGCTCTTGATGCATTGCAACTTGCTGAGGTGGACAATAAAAGTATTGTAACCCGAAAAATGTAATAAAATTCAGACAGAGGTAGTAATGTAAGGTAATCTCATTTCATTTATTTTAAGAAAAAATGCTTCACCTGCAGAGCATGATGTATAACTTTTTCCGGTCATTTTAAATTTGAATTGGTTAGGTCCTGAACTTTTAGTTAAAAGTAATATTGCAACATTAAGTTGTGTTTTCCCAATTGCAGACCGGAAGGCTGCATTCGTCGGCCGCATTTGAAGAAGTCGATGTGCCATCAGAACTGTAACGTTAACTGTAAAAAAACGACACGGTTTCAACTACGCATTAACACTCAGATATGCACACGCACACAAACGCAACATCCCAACATAAACTCCCTCAAAGGGGTAAAGGGTACTGTGGTATATTGACTTGATTTAGCTTTATTGTTGGAACAGTACAAATGCCACTTGGACCTCAGTAAACACTTTATTATAATTGTAGCGCATGCGCAGTACACGTTAGCAGAGCTTTCAGTGGCCGAATAAAGGGAAGAACATTAGGCTACATGCCTCGTCAATACCTAACAGCTACATGGGCAGCAGGTCTTCCTCTTAGAGTTGATGTGTTTATGTTGTAGTTCTCCGCCGTATCAATCACCATCCAATGTCTAGAGTCTGTCTCACTAACTGGCTACAAATGTACTTTTTTCTTCCAGAGTACAACAGATCAACAAGTGCCCATTTTGCAGTTTGCCAAGTCTGTTGAAGGTCTGAGGAGGAGGAAGAGAGACTGGGTCCTTCCTCCATTAAGCGTTCCTGAGAATAGCAGAGGACCCTACCCACTAAAAGTAGCTCAGGTAAGAGGAACTTAAGCTCCTTTCGACAATTAAACTATTTGTTCTAAATATTTGTTTGCCTGCTTTTTATTTTACAAAATAGTACATTTACATATCTGTAAAACTCTCTCAGCTCTATAGTTTTCTCCAATTGCTCTTTATTTATCTTTTTTAAGTTATCAGTGGAAATTATAATCAGAAAGCATGGATGTTCTTGGGTCTGCTGTGACTGAACTATTTAAACATATCTGGTATCCATGTAAAACATTGTATGTGCTCTTGGTTTCTGTAGATGCAGATTAACTCCGACCTCGGTGGTACTTCTTTACTACGGGGAAAACTCTTTAGCGATACTGTCACTAATGTAATGGTCAGTGAGCGTGGTATGACTCTGGCCTGGTGTGCTTCTTCCAGATCCGTTCTAGTGAAGATAAACTAAAGAGAATCTACTACAGCATCACTGGTCGAGGAGCTACTGAGGCTCCTGTTGGCATTTTCGCCGTAGACAGAAACTCTGGTAATATGTATGTCACACAACCACTGGATAGAGAAGCAAAAGCATCTTACATGGTAAGCACCCTCTTATGTTAGTTGACACGTCTAAATCAGCCAGCGAGGCAAATGGAGACTCTTTGTACTCCTTTTCCTTCTTAATGTATTATGTTAGAATCTTCATCACAACTGCAATGTGTAATCTGGCCACCATGAATTTATCCTGGGATGATCCTGGGAGACTGACCGCAATCCTTGCTGGATGAACAAACGGTCCAATGATGCCGTTCTAGACCCAGCACTCCGCCGCTGGCATTTTAGCTGCCCCAGACCCAATAATTGTAAATCATCCTTGGGAAGTAAAGATTTCCACGGACCCTTGAAGCAGCCAAATGTCGAAGCTTCATATTTCTCAATTTTTTTACTTTACTGCTCATTTTGGTGCCTTTCCAAAACCTATAGATCATTGGAGGGAAATCAGTGGCACAAATGTTTGTCGTGCCCCCATTTTGAATGCAAACAATATCGAATAAAGCATCTAAATGGACTATTATTCATCATCATACAGTTTTATAATTCAAATGTGTTTGTCCCATTCAGTTTGAAGTACACGCTGTGGCAGATGGTGCAGGAATTGCTGAAGAGCCTATGGAAATTATAGTGAATGTAATTGACCAGAATGACAACAAACCAGTCTTTGCTCAAAGCACCTTCCTGGGAGAAGTTGCTGAGAGCTCACCAGAAGGTACAGAACGGATCTCCTTTCAGCCTGAAGATGTCTGTTGATGTTCAATGTTTTCACAAGACAGACCACATTTAAAGTTCTTGTGTTTTCCCTCGAGCTTTGATACTCGACTTAAATCCAGAACCTGCTCCAACACTGAGGGACCTTTTCTTATGTGACCTGTGAACCCACAGAATAATGTGGTCTGCTAGGGATGGCAATTCTATTCTTTAATCATCCTCCGCTCCAAGCATCCTGTAGTTGAAGAAATACTCATATTCTCACAAATATGTGAGCATCTGAATGAAGCTGACACTAATGGCAGATGACAAAATCCAAAACAATCTTTGCCCTTTAGTCGTTACTTTTAACTGGTAGTGGCCAAAATATACTTTTTTATTTACATGCAATTCATCATAGCTGTAGATCGTACATTACTTTATAGATTCAAGGGTCACTTTAGTCCACAAGATGGATTATGATGAGACTCTTAAAATGACTTTACTGAATGACGGCCATCATCACAATCACCAGGTGCTTTGTGAAGTCTGAAAGTAAACTTGTCCACAGATTTATTAGCCATTATACAGCCTCTAGCTATAAAGCTGCCCAATCATGGTTTTATCTCAATTTCATAATTGTTGGAATGAACATTTTGAATACTTTGCCCCCTCCAATGAATATAAAATACTTACTTTTGACCTGACTTCTGATCTCCAGGTTCTGAGGTGATTAAGATTCAGGCCACAGACCTTGACGAGCCAAATAATGACAACTCCGATATCCGCTACAGTATTCTGAGCCAGGATCCAACTTTGCCCTCAGACCCTCTGTTTGCCATCAACCCGGTCACTGGCGTCATCAGAGTCAACGCTGGGGGGCTCGACCGAGAGGTTTGCCTTCTAATAGTCTGTCTCTGACTCCTTTTTTCTTTGTTTGTCATCACGTTACATCACACAAGCCAGTGCTAATAGGACTGTCATTTAGCTTCTTTGTCTTTCTAGATTCAGGAATCAGGATCAGGAATCAGGAACCATTTATCGCCAAAATATGTCAAACATACAAGGAATTTGTCTTGGCGGTTGTTGCGTGACAGTAGACAGTATAACAACTGACAAGACAGCAGTGCACAAGTAATACAATAAAATGAAATGCTAATGCAATGGGTTAGTAGAATAAGGCTATGGGTTAGTATAAAACAAGAGAATAAAGTTCAAGTTAAAAATTAAAAATATTTAAAAAGTTACAAAATATTAAAAAATAAAGTGCAGTGACGACAAAGTGACGAGTGAAAAATGACAGTTAAAGTGACATGTGCAGTATGAAGCGGAGTGACCGGTGAAATGTCAGTCAGTCAGTGGGGGACCGGCTCTGTTGATGAGCCCGACTGCCGACGGGAAGAAACTGTTGTGCTTGTTGTGCTCCAACAGAGTTTGTAAAATGACATAAAACATGTTTATGCCTTCCAGGTGTGTTAAAGTCATTGTGTCTCTTCTGACAGAAATACCCAAATTACACTCTGGTGGTTCGAGCAGCAGACATGAGAGGAGAAGGGTTGAAAGGGGAAGCAAAAGTCATCCTTACGGTCACTCATAGCAACGACAATGCTTCGGCCGTCACTCAGCCTGCGGTAAGTACAACATGATTCTGACGGGTCATTTCTGCTTCAACTGCGGAGCATGATGTTGTCACAACTTCTCCAGTGGGAACCCAAAAGCAGACATAGATGTTGACCAGGTGAATATTTATTTGACACGGGGAAGTGGTATTTCTAACGTGCAGACAGGAGAATACTGGTGATGTCGTGGTGTGGGGAAAAAGTTCAGGTTGCCAGGCGGGAGTGACGGGAATCCAGGGTGAGTGACTAGTGACGGAGATGAGAACAACGGTTCAGTACACAAAAGCACAAAGCGCCAACAGAGATCGATTGACTGTTGAGGCTTGATACGCGAGCGCACATACGGGTATGGCTAACGATCCGGCAGGGACCGGATGTCAGGTCTCTGCTTAAATGCTGTGGTGATGATGATCAGGGCCAGGTGTGTTGATAGGGCACAGGTCGGAGCCGGCGCTGGTGATCTTTGTTCTCCCGCCTTGTCGTTGCTCGGCAACCGGAACAAACCAACAGACAAGCAGGATACCTTACTCAGGGAGCTGGGATCATGACAGATGTATAACTTTTTCTGGTCATTTTAAATTCAAATTGGTTAGGTCCTGAACTTTTAGTTAAAAGTAATATTGCAACATTACTCTATGAAACCGCCACAACCTCAGTAAGATATTAGTCCATCTCTAAAGTGTGAAAGTTAAGGCATTAAAGTGATTTTTCTCTGCTAACTATCGTTGGATGTGGGCAGACTAATTGCCGTCCACAACACAGCGGCTCCCAGTGAGGTGAGCTGGTCATTGAGGTATTTGTGTATATTGATACATCGATCTTTTGTGTCATATATTATAACATTTTATCGTTAGATGTTTGAGTGAATTCTAGTACCCCGGGCCGGCTTACCTGTCTCCTTCCGGAATAAAAAACAATCTTCGGTTGCTTCCAATGCATGCTCGGTCGCAAAGGATGCATCAGATGTACAAACGCAACATCCCAACATAAACTCCCTCAAAGGGGTAAAGGGTACTGTGGTATATTGACTTGATTTAGCTTTATTGTTGGAACAGTACAAATGCCACTTGGACCTCAGTAAACACTTTATTATAATTGTAGCGCATGCGCAGTACACGTTAGCAGAGCTTTCAGTGGCCGAATAAAGGGAAGAACATTAGGCTACATGCCTCGTCAATACCTAACAGCTACATGGGCAGCAGGTCTTCCTCTTAGAGTTGATGTGTTTATGTTGTAGTTCTCCGCCGTATCAATCACCATCCAATGTCTAGAGTCTGTCTCACTAACTGGCTACAAATGTACTTTTTTCTGCCAGAGTACAACAGATCAACAAGTGCCCATTTTGCAGTTTGCCAAGTCTGTTGAAGGTCTGAGGAGGAGGAAGAGAGACTGGATCCTTCCTCCATTAAGCGTTCCTGAGAATAGCAGAGGACCCTACCCACTAAAAGTAGCTCAGGTAAGAGGAACTTAAGCCCCTTTCGATAATAAACTATTTGTTCTGATTATTTGTTTGCCTGCTTTTTATTTTACAAAACAGTACATTCACATGTATTGTTATATCTTTCTCTATAAAACTCTCCCAACTCTATAGTTTTCTCCAATTGCTCTTTATTTATCTTTTTTAAGTTATCAGTGGAAATTATAATCAGAAAGCATGGATGTTCTTGGGTCTGCTGTGACTGAACTATTTAAACATATCTGGTATCCATGTAAAACATTGTACGTGCTCTTGGTTTCTGTAGATGCAGATTAACTCCGACCTCGGTGGTACTTCTTTACTACGGGGAAAACTCTTTAGCGATACTGTCACTAATGTAATGGTCAGTGAGCGTGGTATGACTCTGGCCTGGTGTGTTTCTTCCAGATCCGTTCCATTGAAGATAGAGTAAAGAGAATCTACTACAGCATCACTGGTCCAGGAGCTAGTGAGGCTCCTTTTGGCATTTTCACCGTAGACCGAGACTCTGGTAATATGTATGTCACACAACCACTGGATAGAGAAGAAAAAGAATCTTACATGGTAAGCACCCTCTTATGTTAGTTGACTCGTCTAAATCAGCCAGCGAGGCAAATGGAGACTCTTTGTACTCCTTTCCTTTCGGAATGTATTCTGTTAGAATCTTCATCACAACTTCAATGTGTAATCTGGCCACCATGAACTAATTCATTCATTATTATTGATTAGAGATCTCCTATGAGCAGGCTAGCCCCGCCCCTTCCTGTCATGTAGTACCACTTGTTCCTCGACAGACGATGGCGAGTCACTGTAGCATCCAGTCTGTCCTCAGTCCAACATGAGAGGACAAAGATGTAAAGCTGCCCTGAAGGCTTCTTAAGAATACATCCATGATCGTTGTACTTAAGTGGCAGAAACAATAAAACTACTCACAACCTCGTCTTATTCTCACTGGGAGGCTGCTTCTACTGGAGCACAGCGTTGCCCTGTTCTGGGATGGAGTCTCTATTGGTAGTCTGCTCAAACTCATCCAGAAGAAACCTCCGTTCCTTGGCTCTGATTCTGGGGGACTGACCCCAATCCTTGCTGGATGAAAAAAATATTTTGGTGCCTTTCCAACACCTGCAGATCACAGATTTGGAGGGAAATCAGTGGCACGAATGTTTGTTGTGCCAGCTGTATAAAGCATCTAAATGGATTATTCATCATCATACAGTTTTATAATTCAAATGTATTTGTCCCATTCAGTTTGAAGTACACGCTGTGGCAGATGGTGCAGGAATTGCTGAAGAGCCTATGGAAATTATAGTGAATGTAATTGACCAGAATGACAACATACCAGTCTTTGCTCAAAGCACCTTCCTGGGAGAAGTTGCTGAGAGCTCACCAGGAGGTACAGAACGGATCTCCTTTCAGCCTGAAGATGTCTGTTGATGTTCAATGTTTTCACAAGACAGACCACATTTAAAGTTCTTGTGTTTTCCCTCGAGCTTTGATACTCACTTGACTTTAATCCAGAACCTGCTCCAACACTGAGGGACCTTTTCTTATGTGACCTGTGAACCCACAGAATAATGTGGTCTGCTAGGGATGGCAATTCTATCCTTTAATCATCCTCCGCTCCAAGCATCCTGTAGTTGAAGAAATACTCATATTCTCACAAATATGTGAGCATCTGAATGAAGCTGACACTAAAGGCAGATGACAAAATCCAAAACAATCTTTGCCCTTTAGTCATTACTCTTAACTGGTAGTGGTCTAAATATACTTTTTTATTTACATGCAATTCATCATAGCTGTAGATCGTACATTACTTTATAGATTCAAGGGTCACTTTAGTCCACAAGATGGATTATGATGAGACTCTTAAAATGACTTTACTGAATGACGGCCATCATCACAATCACCAGGTGCTTTGTGAAGTCTGAAAGTAAACTTGTCCACAGATTTATTAGCCATTATACAGCCTCTAGCTATAAAGCTGCCCAATCATGGTTTTATCTCAATTTCATAATTGTTGGAATGAACATTTTGAATACTTTGCCCCCTCCAATGAATATAAAATACTTACTTTTGACCTGACTTCTGATCTCCAGGTTCTGAGGTGATTAAGATTGAGGCCACAGATCTTGACGAGCCAAATAATGACAACTCCGATATTCGCTACAGTATTCTGAGCCAGGATCCAACTTTGCCCTCGGACCCTCTGTTTGCCATCAACCCGATCACTGGCGTCATCAGAGTCAACGCTGGGGGGCTCGACCGAGAGGTTTGCCTTCTAATAGTCTGTCTCTGACTCCTTTTTTCTTTGTTTGTCATCACGTTACATCACACAAGCCAGTGCTAATAGGACTGTCATTTAGCTTCTTTGCCTTTCTAGATTCAGGAATCAGGATCAGGAATCAGGAACCATTTATTGCCAAAATATGTCAAACATACAAGGAATTTGTCTTGGCGGTTGGTGCGTGACAGTAGACAGTATAACAACAGACAAGACAGCAGTGCACAAGTAATACAATAAAATGAAATGCTAATGCAATGGGTTAGTAGAATAAGGCTATGGGTTAGTATAAAACAAGAGAATAAAGTTAAAGTTAAAAATTAAAAATATTAAAAAAGTTACAAAATATTAAAAAATAAAGTGCAGTGACGAGTGACGACAAAGCGACGAGTGAAAAATGACAGTTAAAGTGACGTGTGCAGTATGAAGCGGAGTGACCGGTGGAATGTCAGTCAGTCAGTGGGGGACCGGCTCTGTTGATGAGCCCGACTGCCGACGGGAAGAAACTGTTGTGCTTGTTGTGCTCCAACAGAGTTTGTAAAATGACATAAAACATGTTTATGCCTTCCAGGTGTGTTAAAGTCATTGTGTCTCTTCTGACAGAAATACCCAAAGTACACTCTGGTGGTTCGAGCAGCAGACATGAGAGGAGAAGGGTTGAGTGGGGAAGCAAAAGTCATCCTTACGGTCACTCATAACAACGACAATGCTCCGGCCTTCACTCAGCCTGCGGTAAGTACAACATGATTCTGACGGGAGATTTATAGATTTACAATTGACTAAACATCTCCCCAAGTGAGACGGTGTCCAATCCTAGCTCAGAAACCATGACTAGTCAAAGCAGATCTGTCATGTTTTGGACTTGTTTCAGTTGACCATTTTTCTAATCCTCTGTTTTTGACTCTTACTTTCTTCGCAGTACGAGGCATCAGTTGAAGAAAATAAAATAGACGCTCATGTCATTACAATGTCGGTCACGGATGGCGATGAGCCACTTTCGGCTGCCTGGAACGCCGTGTTCACAATTGTCGCTGGTGATCCCGGAGGACTTTTTACTGTGAAAACAACAGAAAGTAACAAACATGAAGGAATCATTTCTACTGCCAAGGTAGGAAATGCAGTTTTAACATTGTGAATGATTTTCAGCAACAATTTATCTGTTTTTTTAGATGACAATCCTTGCAAGGGATTGATGGAATCTGAGAGCCGGTTGTCCAGCAGTAGATGTGAAACATTTGCCTGATGAATTGTCCTGTGCTTTTCCTCTAATCCAACAGGCTCTTGACTTTGAGAGAAGCACCCAGCACACTCTTCTGGTTGCAGTGGTGAATGAGGTTCCTTTTGCTATTCCACTGCTCACTGCCACAACCACAGTGGTGGTGACTGTGGTGGACGTCAATGAAGCTCCAATCTTAAACCCAATGTAGAAGCAGATGTCAAGACGTCAAGCATATCTGGCAGGTTTTAGACTTGTTGTAGTTCTGTTTGTTTACTCCCCGCCATGTTTTCCCAGTCTGGGGCATCAGTAGAAGAAAATAAAAGTGACGCTTATATCTATAAAACTATTGGATTACTAACAGTTGAATCCGGTTAACAGTCCCCTACGGCACCTTTCATCAACATCAGATTAACCAGGAAAAACGTTTTCCAGTGGCCTCAATTAAGCGGTTTCAATATTTTGATAAAAGGGGTGGAGTTTGGTCGGTTGAGGTGAGTACACCTCAACCACGAAGAACAGTGACTACTTGGCCAGTTGATGGGACCATAACCATAACAGAAATAGCACTGAAGCAAGTGTTGGACACCACCAGCCTCACTATCCTCAAAGAACCTACACACAACCACCATGAGCATACAGGACCTGGTCTTCTCCCCAACAGACCTTACTCCCACCAATCCAAAGTCACCAGGTTAATTGTAATTGTCCACGACGTAATGTAAGGGATAACCCTAAAATCTCTTGCTCATGTTTCAGCTAACTGTAAACTTCACCCCGACAGCAGCAGCAGGTCAATTTTAGTCCAGTTTTGAAGAACTGAAAAATCCAGATAACAAATAAAATATTCAACACACTACAACGTTTTGTTTGTACTTGTATCACAGTATCCTGTACTTTCAATATTTACATCTTACAAAAACCAAATCTTTTTATTTTAAATATGATTCTCAGTTTAATTTTCTTATTGAAGTCTAGTCACAGAGTTTTAGGAAACGTGGTAACAGTATATGTGCGCATTTTGCTAATGACTAATAAAGCAAAATTAAGTTTCCTTTAAAAATGTACACCTTTTGATATGGTTTCCTTTTTCTGGCTGATATTGTTTCATTTGGAGCCTCAAAATGTTCATTAGTTAATAAGTGATCAAGTAATCATCAAATAAATATTACATTACATGTCATTTAGCTGACGCTTTTATCCAAAGCGACTTACAATGAGTGCATTTCAACCATGAGGATACAAACTCAGAAGAGCAAGAAACAAGAAAGTGCAATTTCAATCAAACAAGCCAATTTACAATTTGCTATAAATAAGTGGCGTTACAAGTACAATTTAAGTGCTACAGTTAGTTAGTGTTTTAATGTCTTTAGTCTGAAGATGTGAAGGCTCTCTGTGGTCCTGATGTCTTCAGAGAGCTCCTTCCACCATTTAGGAGCAGGACAGCAGAGAGTGGTGATCTAGTCGAGTGTTTTGCCCTCAGTGAGGAGGAACAAGCAGTTTATCAGATGCAGAGCGGCGAGTGCGGGTCGGGATGTCGGGTTTGACCATGTCCTGGATGTAAGCTGGACCCCATCCATTCACAGCATGGTACGTGAGCACCAATGTTTAGAACTGGATGAGCCACCGGTACCAGTGAAGAGAGCGGAGGAGTGGAGTAGTGTGGGAGAATTTCGGAAGGTTAAAGAACAGTTGAGCTGCTGCATTCTGGATGAGCTGCAGAGGTCGAATGGCAGTAGCTGTTAGGGTGGGGGGTGAGGTGAATTTGGTGGGCCCAAAAGCACACACACGGCAGTCTTGGATCTTCAGCCAAAATTAGTTTTATTTTCTCACAAAAAAACAAACAAGGGGAACACGGGAAACAGAAAGGCGCTCCTCTGACTCAACTGGAGTCTGGAGGGAAACTCCACCGACGTCTGGCGGTCTGGGGTGGCTCAAACAGGGTCTGGTGTGGATACCCGAGGCCCGACACCAGATTCACAGTCCAACTCGAAAAAAAGGCAGGTTACGTGCACTCCGAGGTACTCCGTGGGTCTGACATCAAAACAAACCAAAAACATGAATCAACTGGTCTAGCTGCTGAATCTAAGTATCTACGGCACCTGAGACCAGCCTGGGTACTGGGACGGACTGACGACGAGCCTCTGACAGCAGGAGCCTTTATACTCGTCACCAGTGATCCCCGGAATGAGCCACAGCTGGGCACGTGGGAGAGGGGTGGGGCCGGAGGCGGAACACACAGGTGGAAACTATAGGTGGAAGAAACAAAACAAGCAAAAACAAAAGCACAGACTGGGGGGAAAAACTGTTAATAAAACCGGGTCCCTAACAGTACCCCCCCCTCAACGGGAGCCTCTCGGCGAACCGTTTAGACAGTCAGGGTTCCGACGGAGGTAATCCCTAATGAGCCCCGGATCCAAGATCCGGGAACGGGGCACCCAGCAACGCTCCTCTGGTCCATAACCCTGCCAGTCCACCAGGTACTGATGCCCTCTGCCTCGGCGGCGCACATCCAGGAGGCGATTGACTGTGTAGACGGGCCCTCCCTCGACGAGACGGGCGGGTGGAGGGGGTTCCGGAGGAGGGTTGAGGGGGCTGGAGACAACTGGTTTAAGGAGGGAGACATGGAATACTGGGTGAATCCTCAAGGATCGCGGCAATTGCAATTTCACAGAGACTGGGTTGATGATGGAGATGATCGGGAAGGGGCCGATATATCTCGGAGAGAGCTTCCTAGACTCTGTGCGTAGGGGGATGTCCCTGGACGAAAGCCAGACAGACTGGCCGATGCGGTAGGCAGGGGCGGGGGCGCGTCGTCTGTTTGCCACCCTCCTGTTCTGCTCCACCGTGCGAAGCAAAGCGGTCCGAGTAGCTTTCCAGATCCGCCTACAACGACGGGCATTGCTCAAGACCGATGGCACAGCAACCTCAACTTCCTGGCTGGGGAACAGGGGAGGCTGATAACCCAAGGAGGCCTCAAATGGGGACAGTCCAGTGGCCGTTGACGTATGGGAATTGTGGGCGTACTCGACCCATGGGAGGTGACGGCTCCACGAGGAGGGATTGTTAGAGATCACACACCTGAGGATGGCCTCGAGCTCCTGGTTCAGCCTTTCAGTCTGGCCATTAGTTTGGGGGTGGAATCCCGAGGATAGGCTGGCCGTGGCACCGAGGGTGTGACAGAACGCCTTCCAAAGCTGGGACGAGAACTGCGGGCCACGGTCAGAAACTATGTCCGCAGGGATGCCATGGAGACGAACGACATGCTGAACCAGTAAATCGGCGGTCTCACGGGCTGATGGAAGCTTGGGCAGGGGTAGGAAGTGAGCCGCCTTCGAAAAACGGTCCACCACTGTCAGAATGACTGTGTTGCCGTCTGATGGAGGGAAACCGGTCACAAAGTCCAATGCAACGTGTGACCACGGACGTTGGGGCACAGGGAGTGGTCGCAGCAATCCCATCGGGGGTCGGTGTGATGCCTTGTTGCGGGCACAGGTAGTGCAGGCCAACACATAAGCACGGGCGTCCTCCTCAAGGGATGGCCACCAAAACTTGCGGCGAAGCCAATGTATAGTCCGACGGATGCCGGGATGACCAGAGAGGCGGGACTCATGGGCCCACCTCAGGACCTGGGAACGGACGGGCGCAGGAACAAACAGGCAATTCGGTGGACCCCCTCCTGGGTCAGGTTGGGCGTTCTGGGCTTCGTGTACCACTCTCTCTATTTCCCAGGTAACAGCTCCGAGAATGCACGAGGCGGGAAGGATGGTGT